GACCAGACTGTGCGGATGCGCATCTGGTCTGGATCCATGCTGTACGCAAACCCATTATGTTGGTTTTGTCGTGACGCGGCTCATATCATCTTGATATCCAATGGTAAGTTCCAAGGTAAAGTCCGAATTTAAGAAACTAAGCAGGTTCATTGTTTACCCGTAGCCATTGGGAGCCGAGTACACAAAAATACGAAAAAGTTTTTCCAGCAAATATCATATACATTTTGTATTCCATATAGAATCTGAGACCGACATAATTATGTTTCAAGTAATCGTCTTTTCTTCTGATGTAACTTGACCAAGTAACTTCACCTTAATCACACGATATTCTAACTTTTTTTGTACTTTTTAAATTAAAGTTCACAAAAACTAAGGAAAGATCGTGGATCGATACAAATTTCGCAGTAAAAGATCTTAATCTATGTCCACTTTCTTCTGATAATATACACTCTATTATAGAAACAGGTCACATCTTAAGTTGTTTCACGTTTTTTTCCACGAGAAAAAACACTCAAGAAATTTCCTGACGTATATTTCGCAGAGACACAACTTTAAAGGCCCAGTAAGCCTAGAAAATGTAGATATTTTCATATTTTTAAGTTTTATATTTTTACTTTTCTGTTTGCGGTTTTAAAAAAGTTACTCATTGGCACTTAAAATCTTCTATCACGTTTGGGCAATTAGTATGTTAGTCAAAATACCACTTCTTTTTCTTAAATTATTTCACATTCAGCGCTATAATTCGTCAGGTTATAGGCATCTTTCATATTCTAAATCCATTATTACAACACATGTATCGTACTTCTTGGAGAAAGTAAAGTTCATATCTAAAACACTTTGTGTGCCTTTAATATATACCACGCATCATATAAATCATTATGTTGATAAAAGCGCTTAATCAATTTGAAAGAAAAGAAAAAAATTGAGTTTGTTGTTATTCTTTAAAGTTAACTTTTTTAATTAACGCAAAGTATACATGCATATTACTAAAAATTATTAAGGCACACTAGATGGAATGCCTTAACCCTCTTAAACATGTCACGCGGCGAAATAAAAAGGGAGTTTCCACGGAACAGTTTTGGTCTGAAAATGACTATTGTATCTAAACTTCATTGTCTTCAAAATTTGGTCTGAAAACGACTATTGTATCTAAAATTCATTGTCTTCAAAATTCTTCTTTATTATAATTTTATCACTCGTCACTTAAAACTTTCGTACGTTGAACATTTCTATTATCAGTTTCCGCTGAGATCATTCTACTTTGTTCATCTGTTATTTTACCCATAATTGATTTTAGATACCAGATAACGTGCACTAGAAACAACTTGCACTTTAGAAAACAACCACAATTTGAGGAATCCCGTATCATGGCATATTAATTAAATCTAGAAGTGTTCAAGTTTACGACAGCATTTTTTATATTCTTTTCACATTTCCAACATCATAACATTAACAATTCGTACTCTGTAATCTGTACTTAAGTGTTGTTTTACTGAATTCCAACTTCGCCTCTTTTATAAACGGTGGGGAAGTGTATACTGTAACAATGACACACTTTGTATATTAATTTGTCTTTAAAAGTGGTCATGTGACCAAGTGACGTACGTAGATGTCGTCTCAAATAATGGAATCGTTACAATGTAAATTATCGCTTTTTCTATTTGTTTCTATTTATAGACTTCTAGATCTTATGATCGTACGATATTTTGATTGATATTAAACAATAACATAATATATGTAAGAACTTTCTAGGATACTGTTTCCTTTCGTTCGATTATAATACTTAATATTTCCCACATTTTAAAATTGATATTAGTCACTTCCATGAAGATATATCGTTGACTCATGCAAACTTTTCCTGTATAGACTGATCTGCTAATTAATGAATGACGGTTCAAGAATCTATCTATAAATTTAGCTTGTAGACTATATCTTTATTTATTGAATAACAAAGACAGACAAGATTGCCGATATCATTTGCTTTTCTAAAATATAGCGAAAGACTCTTCTAGATTCTACAGCAGACGAATGCCTGTGATTTTCTTGTCAATACAATAAACGTAATGGATCTACTTTCTGTGACAAAATTAAAACGCGCAGCGGTCATTTCGCAAATAACGTAAATTGTTGTTGTTTTTTTAAGATAATAATAAATATTAATTAACAAATACCGTTCATTATTAATAACTGATAAAAATGACATATACTTTGTATAGTTTTTTTAAAAAAGCACAATTATTGATACAAGTTAAGCTCTGACAACTTGCCAAATGCGGTAATGTCTTCTTTCCGTTTTTAAAATAACCCTTAAACACCCCCGCGTAGTAGCAAAATTCTTAATCATAAAAATTACAAATCCGTTTTTAGAACTTCTCCCAAACGACTACACACATAGTTCTATCAAAAGAACAATAAATCATGATCAAATACCGAAACAAGAAGACAGACAAAAGGTGGCAAAACGGGAGTGGCGCAATACTACCGAAACCTCCCATCGCCCACATCCTCAGTTGTATTGTTATTTCAGAATAAAATTCACGATTTTTGACATTTTGGATAATACACCCGATACATAACAAACTAGAGGATGCTTTTGTAAAAAAGCGCATGTCTCCCCCACTGCTGAGAATAACTGTGAATGGAAACAGGAATGGAAATGGAGATAAGATAATGTAAATACCCGGTAGTCACTTCAATGAAGGCTGTCTATGGATGGTTTCTATTGTTAAGGTTGTATGAGAAGATGCTTCCTAAACTGTTTGTTTTTAACCAGGTATTCAATTTTGAAAATCCTGGTTATTCAATCAGCGTATGGCAGGCGGGCGTCAAACGAAATTGCACTTGATGGTCATATCATATATAGTTTCACAAATGAAATTAAATGAAATTGTGTCTGCTCCATAATTCTTCAAACCTTTAAAGGATTTTGATGATACTTGAAACAAACGTTCATATTGTCAGATTTTTTTACACTATTGAAAGACAACTCAAATTACAATGTATGTAAAATCATGATAACTGTAGTGTGTTGGGATGACTCCACTCGTTTTCACAATGAAGCCTCTCTGGTAGATACTTGAAACAAAAATTCACCACATCCAGAGATCATCAGCTCTATAAGACCAATCATCCTATGAAGTTTGAGGGCTGTAGGTCAAAAGGAACTCTAGTTATCATCCGGAAACGAGAAATTGACCAACGGTCACTGTGACTTTGACCTTTGAACTACTGACCCCAAAAACAATAGGGATCATCTGCTCAATAAGACCATTCATCCTATGAAGTTTGAGAGCTGTAGGTCAAAAGGAACTCTAGTTATCGTCCGGAAACGAAGAATGGACGGACGGACTGACGGACGGACGGACTGACGGACGGACAGGGCAAAAACAATATGTCTCCCCCCAGTTTGAGGGTTGTAGGTCAAAAGGAACTCAAGTTATCATCCGGAAATGAGAAATTGACCAACGGTCACTGTGACCTTGACCTTTGACCTACTGACCCCAAAAACAATAGGGATCATCTGCTCTATAAGACCAATCATCCTATGAAGTTTGAGGGCTGTAGGTCAAAAGGAACTCTAGTTATCATCCGGAAACGAGAAATTGACCAACGGTCACTGTGACCTTGACCTTTGAACTACTGACCCCAAAAACAATAGGGATCATCTGCTCTATAAGACCAATCATCCTATGAAGTTTGAGGGCTGTAGGTCAAAAGGAACTCTAGTTATCATCCGGAAACGAGAAATTGACCAACGGTCACTGTGACCTTGACCTTTGAACTACTGACCCCAAAAACAATAGGGATCATCTGCTCAATAAGACCAATCATCCTATGAAGTTTGAGGTCTGTAGGTCTAAAGGAACTCTAGTTATCATCCGGAAACGAGAAATTGACCAACGGTCAGTGTGACCTTGACCTTTGACCTACTGACCCCAAAAACAATAGGGATCATCAGCTCTATAAGACCAATCATCCTATGAAGTTTGAGGGCTGTAGGTCAAAAGGAACTCTAGTTATCATCCGGAAACGAGAAATTGACCAACGGTCACTGTGACCTTGACCTTTGACCTACTGACCCCAAAAACAATAGGGATCATCTGCTCAATAAGACCATTCATCCTATGAAGTTTGAGAGCTGTAGGTCAAAAGGAACTCTAGTTATCGTCCGGAAACGAAGAATGGACGGACGGACTGACGGACTGACGGACGGACTGACGGACGGACAGGGCAAAAACAATATGTCTCCCCCCGAGGTGGGGGAGACATAATAATTAACATTTGACCAGGTATTGACATTATCTTAAGTATGATGTCATAGTTTAATCCCATAGATAAATGTCATATTCGCAAGTATATGTAGTGTAAATGTCATATTTCTCGCAATATCGAACGTGTACTATATATAGGAACAGAATTAAAGACACCTTTTCTTGAATCAATACATCAGCAAAAAGATGATAATTATTATAATAGTTCATGTTCAGTCTCGAATGCGGATATAAGAAATAAGATATATTCATAATCTTATATTTAGCACTTATTCATCCGCCAATTTCCATATTGTCGGAATTTTAAAACATTTTTTTTAACTTAGAATTGTTACCTTCACATTTCTTAAAACCATAACGATAAGCATTTCGTATACAAATAATATCTTAATTTGACATCTGGCTACGAGGACCAACGCCCATCCCATACGAGCGCTATAACTACAACTGCGTGGCGATCCATTGGCTCGGAGGTATGGTCATTATGGTCACCGGCTTGGAATCACTTGACCCCTTAGCCGTCTGTAGGTTTGAATCCTGACTTAGGCTTTGGAATCATTTCAGGGAGGAAACTATGCATCGAGTTTACCGGAAGTTTATACCTCTACGCAGGTACCCGCTCGTGCCTGAAAAAATGCGCAGAGGGGCACAAGAGTGCTATATGACCAGGTGATATAAAACTGAAGAAAGAGATACCGTTGTGGAAAAAGAAATGTTTGATATTTTTACCGTGTTGGATATCCCTTCCATTTCACCAAGTATTCAAGATTTCCCTGAAAAAAAGAAAGAAATACAATTAATTCTTAAAGGTCAAGGACATAGTGATATCTATGCTCCAACACAATATGTTACATGTATGCTATAAAAGTTAACGGTCAATAAAATTATGTTAGTCATCCACTACAAAATCATACATGTATTTTCTGTACCATTCCTTTATAAAGTCCTCATGTTTTCTACGTAAGATTTAGTAGATCTACCTTATACGACAATGAAACCGCGTGTATATTCACCTTTTTGCATGGTACATGTATAAAATAGTTATTATCCTAACTTAATTACTTATATATGGTATGGGGAGAGAGACGGGTGCTTGATGGGTGCACATAAGTGCGTGACAGTGCTTACCGAATATTATACTGAATGCAAGCATGTCATTCTGAATATAAAAGTACAAATATACATCGTTTAAACCTGTATTTTACATGTAAATATATAAACCACGCCAACGCCACGTTTTCTTACTTCTTTTTTTCTCTCAATTAAACCGAAACGAAAAACGAAACCTTTACGCTCAGTGCATGTTCTAGCGAGTTCTATCTCATCTTATTTCAGCGTGGTTTAAAGTTAACACTGATACCGGAATCGAAACAAAACACTTAAATTCGTTATCTATTAAATCTAGTCATCTTCACCTATTGTGTGAGTGTACGAATAAGTACACGTGTGGTAGTGTAACAGTTCAAATGCAACGCTAGGTTATATAAATTACATGGCGGAAATTATTGATCAGTAAAACACATTTAAGCAATTATACTGTATACAAGGTTTAATATTTGTATGTAAAACCGCACAGCTGCATAGACAAGAACATACATATCCGGGAGGAAAATTTATGGTTTTATAAATACGAATATTAAACCGACACTGTAACTGACTCTGATTTTCACTTTTACAAAAGATGACATCATTTTTCTTGTGCAGGTCGAAATCGCAGAATGATGCTATCATCTATCTATAAGCATCGGGGTGTCTTTTAACAATTGTTATAATTATAAATCTTAGAAAAAATCCATTAACAACAGACATTTTAATGTATGGTCTTAATAAGTTTGAATCTTTTTTATTTAACTGTATAAGTTCATTTTTAAATACGATTGATAGATCTACGTGATTTTACTCCTACGAATGCCATGTATTCTACTTCTAAAATAAGACAACACTTAATAAATGAAATATGGCAAAATAGAAACCGCACGAAACTGATTATACAGTGACATTGTATGTATATTGCACTTTCTCTAAGCTTACGTAACCGTATGTTAAGTTTCCGGCTTTCCGCCTCTGATAAATTAACGCGTAAAATCACATTTATCAGCAATGCATGCATGTATACCATTTACATGATGTGGTGAAATATACATTTAATGTCTGAAGATATATGTGCAAATTATTCCTACATCGCTTTGCGTGATACAACAATATCATGGAAATGTTTTTTCGTTAAGAAGCAAAACAACCCTGCACTTTTATTGAACCTTATCCTTCATGAATACAGCAGTATCACTGTTCAAAGCTTAATGGCGAATGTCGCCATACCGGCATTTTATTAACGCTAATATCTGAAAATTTACAAATTGTCAGCCGCTGAAATTAAGTCAAATGTTAGATATTTGGTTAATGAAAAGAATAAAACAATTTTTACCTTTCTACGTCGCTTCTTTTTTATGTAATCTGCGATAAAAACACGATCCGCCATCGTAGCAGCTTCGATATAATAACACTAAACTATATCGACCAGCCGATGATTTTATGACGCAGTAAATGAAACACAGCTTGTAAACAAACTACTGCGCATGCGCCATGACGTCAGGTGTAAATATTTAATGCTTCGTGGTTTCTATTTTATATCGTTATGAAAAACAGTAATGTAGTCACTTTATCGGAACAAATTAACCATATATTTCATGTCTATTTATAGTTTTTCCCCTCATTTATATAGGCTAAATTTAGAAATTTTATCACGCTTTAAAATTACAAAATCCGGTAGCGTCGTTGAATCATGTACCCGTTTCAAAATAACGCTAATTGATTAGATCAACGTTAGACATTTTTTATTCGATTTTAAATATCGTTTAATCGTCTCTTAATGTCGCAAAGAAACAGTTAAAACTGCTTGGTAACGCAGCAAAGGTATAAATATACATGTATATATAAGCCGATCATGTCAGAATACCATGGTAATCCGTGTATTGGACGCTATTTTAAGCGACGTGGTTTTCCAAAGTATTTTCTCCCATATTTATGCGGATTTAAGTGTAAATTCCCGGTGCGTTTTTTTTTTTTTTTTTTTTTTTCAGGAAGCATTACTAATAGTAATAGATCTATATTGTTCCAAGGTTCAACAGAAAGCATTCCGGTTTCAGTGTGTTGACCAATCAATGAACGTTAATATATAAAAATAATTGTAATAAAAGATAATTGTTAATCATATGCATATTGGCAGAAATTTCTAAATAAGACATCCTTTTATTTGTTAAAATTTTATGGCATATTAATTTTTATGGACCAATAAACGCCGTTTTTGAAATATAGGCTAATAATCTCATACGTTGATATATTAATTCCTAATATGTTCACATAACAATATGAAATTATAGTATTTAAAGATAACTGTTGTAATATATTAATCAAGTGACGCAACATGAATATGGCGTCTTTTGAATATTGCGTCACTTTCTGTATTTATTTCAATTTTATTTTTTTAAAAAAACGTATCTTAACTACGGAAGCCGAGTAGTTCTTTAATGAAAAAGGAGGTTCTGTTGTGTTAAAAATTGGTTAAAAAAAGACTTATGAATTAGAAATTTTGTCTTAGAAATTAAAAGTCAGTTTGTAACAGGGCACATTTTATTCATATTTAAAGATGTGTAACACAAGCAGCAGCTGAATGAACGATACATTAAATCATGATTAAGTTAAGAGAAATATGGTTCTACCTAGAACAAAGGTCTATTCTAAACATTATTCGCAGTGTTGAACTTATTTAACTATGTTTGAGTAATATTAACATATTTAAGTAATAATTTACATCCAATATCTGGAAAAAAAGCGATCTATCCAGCAAAAATACGTGAAAAATGCAGACTCGGTTTGAATGAGTATGTATTATGAGGAATAATGAAAAAGTGTAACATCTATCACGCTCCCTAGCACCGGCTTGTGTTAATATAATTGTCGTCAATTGCGATTTTGCTTTTTTTCACGCAGTCTTTATTTTTTATTTATGTAAAATGGTTGAAGAACCTAAAAACATTCAAAACAACGTGAATAAAATAATACAGAAAAAGAGAGCCAGACTTCCATCGCATAGGAGAACTATAATCATATTTTAATCACAAACACGAGCCAAGGACTGCGCCCAAGACGGATTAAACCATATATAAAGTAACATCATCTGTCTGTAATGTAGAAAAATCTCCATTGACGACGACGAAGAAACTTGAGACACGAGCAGGGTACCTACATAACAAATATCAAGATAAAAGACTTGTAAGAAGTCATTCGATTAACCAGCCCACTAGAAATCTAACCTATATGACATACAGTATGATAGAAATACTTTAAAAAAAAAAGAAGAATATTTCACTTTTTGTATTGTATGTTAATATATAGCTCCTAGATTAATGTTTGTTCTAGCCCCAGCCCACCCAACCCTCTCACCCCTGTACCAACCCCCTTCAAACTTCAGATACAATGCACGCCTACATCTCCGTGTCATCTAGACACTCGCGCAATAATTGTGTCAAGGCATTCCCCGGAACCTCTTCTTATACCACATGAGATTTTACATCTCTTCATATACAGTCAACTACAATTTCAATATCATCTTCATCGCCAAGGTTCCATACAAGTTCACTCCCTACTGTTTCTGAAAGTTAGCAACAATTTGGGTGTATGATATCCAGGCCTTACTTTTTAGCAGATGAGGTGTAACCGGACCACTGGATCTTAATATCAGATGGTCCTTGTCAAAATCAGGTGGTCTCGGACCAAAGGACCACCGCTTGTGTCGAGGCCTGAATTTTGATTAACATAATTATAAGATTGCTCAGCCTTTCAGTTCCGTTTGTTTGAGCATGTACTAAATTGGTAATGCTTGGCAATTTATTATAGCACAATTTAACATCATCCCATTTTTTAACAGGTGATCATTCTCTGTTTAATTACGCATGCGGTTATTAGAGATTTATATTGCAGAGGGATAAGAAGCTCAAAAAAAAAATAAAAATTTCCAATCCAGACCCACAGTCTCTTGCGCGAAATTCATTGGCCCTTGGAGTTGATCAATTTCCGCTATCTTGTTTCACGTTACCGGATGTGTTTACATTTAAATCCATTACTTAGAATAATATACTTAATCTTTTTTTGCTATTTTTACATTTCTGCAACATTATTTATATATATTTTTTCTTTTTATTTTTTATATAATTCTTTTGATAACCTAAAAAAAAAATTTATATCATGGAGGCGTATCGGTAAATTTGTAAATTTTCTTATATTAAACATAGTCTCGGAAAATCTCGCAAATTAAATGAGAACTTGCTGGATACGGTGGATGCTAACATGAAATCGTTGTGAACATCGGTTTCAACTTCACAAAGTTCGCCAGCTATAAATGTTCGTTAAGTTGGCAGCCTATGAAATAATAAAATACTAGAAGTCTTCATCTAAATTTTCAAATTTTACAAATTTAATCACAAGAAATATGTTATCCTTCATACAAAACTTCAATTTTCTTTGCAATTTTGTTTAGACTTGCTTTGGGTTAAGTTTTCAACTCTTCTACATGTGATTCAAGATTCATTTTTATTTGTCACTTTAATAATCAAATTTTGTTTATTATATGTAATATAATAAGATAAAATACACATCTGCGGTGCAGGTTTTAAAGTTTATGACAGATATATGCATGTTCATAGATCATTTACTTTCTTTTTCATTCCTTTCATTCTTTGCCGTTGAATGTGCTTTAAAAGAAGTACCCTTTCGATGTTTGTGTAGACGTTTTCGGAAACTATAACTTTAAGAAAAAAAGATGTTTATGTTGATAAACAATCAAAAAACATACAAATACATTGAAACATTTGTGCTAGTTTAATTATTTATAAGGGCATTATCGCATTCCTTTGATGTAAATTGTGTGTGTGGGTGGGTGGGGTGTTATGGCATGGTTTTAAAAGTCAAACAAATTGCTTTAATAGTTAGTACTATTGGACTCGAGTTGAAAAAAAACGAATCAATGGATAAATTATCCTTAAAATATAACTAATATCGTTAACACAAGCATTGATAAAGCGCGTGCATTTAACCTTATTTGCATAATCATTCTAACCAAATAAGGAAGTATCCGGCGATTGGCTGGTTTAATTAAAGCAGATATCGTGGAATGAAGTACAATCCTGCCGCCTGAAAAGCTAAAAATAGATCATGAATCGAAACTTCTTACTTTATAAGCTTATATTGAATGATTGTCTTTCTTCATTTACCAACTATTCAAACTTAAGTGCTATCAATTTTGATCGGAAGCCGATAATGTGAAAAAGCAAACTGCATTGGCGCGATTGTTTTCGTTGAAATATATATTCTATCTTCCGGTGTGCACTTTATACTTCCGTTGACTAAACTAAAAACATTTTAGTTATGTATACGTTTTGAAAGTATATTCGAACTACATGCGAACAAATAACAATTCTTTCTACTAAATACTATACTAATTACTATACTATTCTAACAGTTTGTAAGTTAAACTTTTATTATTCTGACAGAAATAAGAAATTTAACCACTTTATATTGAATGTGTTTTTTTACATAAATATGTGATTGGAAATGACTTAATATAATAAAGAAATAAAAGAAGATTGAATTGTCTTATTTATATTAAGAATAATGGCAATAATTAAATACAAGTAAGCTGGTATGCGATATTCTTGAAAAATACCGATGTAGTTATCCATATCCTAGTGTCAATAAGAAAGAAAGACTGTGAAAATAAATATTCGTTTATATATACACATTATATTATATATATTCGGCGAAAGACTGACAGCTATGGTGTTTTTGGTTTGGTTTTGGTATCACATAGACGGATACAATGACGGCGACTAGTTCCAAAATTCACCGGAAGCCAAGATAAACTCATACAGCTTACGGCCGAAAAAATATCAGAAATGCAGGACAAGTATAACACTTTTATTTAGGTCATATTGTCACCTTTGACATTGGATTCAAACCTATTGATACTTAAAATCCAAAATCAGTAAAGACAATCGAAGTTTGATTTTTGAGACCACTAACACCTCTAAAATTACTATAAATTAAGGGGAGTGGTGGACTAGTGGTTAAGGTGTCTGTTTCTCAACCCAGGAGTCTTGGATCCGAGCCCTAATCGGGTCACGACCATGTTTCTTAATATGACACCAGTATTGGCTGATTCCAGGAATCGAAAGTTATAAATATAAGTTGCAAGAACTTGTTTCGCAAACGAGATTAGAAAAATATGTTTAAACCAAACCGAAAAAGAAAAATGCAGGTATCACGCAGTTTCAGTATTGTTATTTTTTACGAGGACTGTGTATCTTGTTAGAGGACTTTATCCTGTTTGTTGTGTGGGAAGATACTTCCCACACAACAAACAGGATAAAGTCCCCCCACAGCGTGATTTTCATCGGTGTAAGAATAACTAAAGGCTCGAGGTAATTTTTGCTGAAGTTTATGTTTTGTAAAAACAAATATTCTTATCTTAAAATGACGTATACTTCTAAAGAAACGGGATGTTTGTTTTCGCTAAAGTTTGCGGCTGT